ATACCGTCTCCTCAGAATCGGTTTTCTTATACAATGATATTATATCATTAAATTCATATTTAATACCATCTATTATACAGTGACCAAATTGTAACCTACTGTACAGCAGAGCAACTTTTTTTAGATTTACACTAAAAAACAAAATCGATTTTTTCGAAAACTGGTTGGTTTTTCTGACGCCTTTGAAAACTATATTGAGAACCTTTTACTTTTGAACCCCCAAAGTACCAATTGTATTCACTTTCCTAACAATAAAGATGCTGTTGAAGAACAATTTTTACTGTCCTAAAAGGTGATGACAAACTCAAAAGAATCACACCATTGTAAAATCAATACATTCATCGCTCCGACCAGAATCGAATAATATATTCTTTGGTGATTTGAAAACATAAATTTGGTTCATTTAGGTTCTGGTTACTAATACTTTAAAGGCTTTTGGGTTCCAGAATCGGTTCTTTTTGTTTCGGTTCCAGTTCCCAAATTCGAAATTTCCATATAAGTTTTACTGAACCAATAAAACCCGCATTATCGAGTTACAACCCCGGATGCTCGCCTGGACTATATGTATATATTATACTAAATTGCGGATATTTCCTAAATAAATCTATTGTATATTGATTTAAAATTTATAAATTCTAGATGGTTTATTTCGTATGAATAATATAATCATCAGATATAAATAGGGTATATTACATAATAACATGTAAATGGAATGTTAAGCTATGGTGGATATGGTATAGGTACCTATTGAGATGAGTAAATTGCCTAAATAATATTTTATCTTTATAGAACATGGAAAACTAAATAAATATTCTACACGTTACTATTATAATCAATGTCAGTGTGATTTATGAAGTTTTTATTATACATCATAGTTGAAGGTTAATTATACTCAAATACATTTTAAATTTTGTTCAAAATAATATAATCACACGACAACGATTAAAAATCCTGCATTTGAAGATAGGTACCTACACACTATATTTTTGTATTATATAAAGTGCCTAAGCTGGTACCGGAAATTAATTACATATTCAATTATTTCTAATTTTTATAGTTATAAGTAGGAATCAGGGTCATCTTACTCTGTCATTCAAGACTCTGTCTAAACTTCCCGGGTATCGCGTATGTCAACAGGTTTCAGATATAAATGCTGTACCATATTCTGTAAAATAATATAAATAATTATATAAATTCAAATAATAATACTTTTAAGTACCTACTTATAAATATTACTTAAATACTTTACTTATAATAAGTAGTAAATATACCTATACGAGTTTGATTAAAATTTATTTTGTGATAATGCAGGTAATCAATAAGTTACCTACTAATAGACAATAGTTTAATTTTATTTTTCTCTCGATAACTTTAAAACTTGCCAAACTATTTAAAAACCTAATTAGGTAGTCTAAATTATAAAAATCAATATTTTAAAATTTAATTTAATTTTTAATTTATGTTCACTATAATGTAAATGGGGATTGGCTTTAATTATTAAATAAAATGAACAAGTTAAATAGGTATGTTTATATAAATTTGCCTTCAAAATATTTATAACACCAGAATAAATATATTTTTTGTTTTGAGTTCAAGTTAATCGAAAAATTGTTTGAATTGTATTAATATTGTGGCTATTGAATGATACAGTTATAATTAATAATAATTGTCCAAAATAATATCTACAAAATAGTAATTATAGTAATTAGAAATTAGAATAAAAGAATAAAATATTGTGTTGACGGTAAGACAATTATAACTGAGAATTTCAAAAACTCAGTAAGTACGTGATTTTCTAATTCCTTATTAATCGAAAATTTGTATTTTGTAACATATAATATATTTTAAACCAAAGGAAAGGTTAGGAAAATGTAAGGATTAAAATTAATTTCTGTAGAGGTTTTAGTTGAAAAAATCAAAAAATGTCAAATATCAAAATCTTTCATTTAGGTACCTACTACAATGTAAAGTTCGTTAGATAAAGAAGTTCACTTTTATGATTTTGTCGGTAGTCTTATCGAGTGTTTGAGAAAAAATTCCATAAATACCACAAACACATTGAAGGTTAGAACCGTTTAACGCACATAAATGCTTATTTGAATGCGATACTTAACCATTCCTTTCAGACGTATAATGCACGTTATGCACGTTATGCACGTTATCACGTTATGTACAAACGTACAACACACTATTTCATTATGATAATTCCTGCGTTCATATTATGGTGCTATGGTGCTTTGTATATCCTGTCTGGCTAAATACCTAAATTATTTTACAGAAAAAAAAGAAAACTGGACTTGACACATGCGATATTATTATTCAAGATGTTATAAGTTTCATTTCTATGATTCTATGGTTGCACCATCGTAGAAAGTATTTATTTTTTAGAACAAAATAGTTAATAAACACATAACTAAGCCACAGGCCATTTACCCAGTAGACATATTATAAAAAAAAAATGTATTCAATAATCAAGATGAATAATAATTGCGTAATTTAATGCAAGTAAAACATACACATTGTATAGTATGCTATACAAAACGAAATAGTATCTATGTTATTTTATGAATTGGTTATTATCTAAGATCTATTATCTATGCTTAAGTAGAAAACATGTGAGGTTTTATGACAATGTTATAATTTGGATTTTTGTTTTTGATTTTTGATTTATAATAAAAATATAAAAATATATGTATTATGTTTAAATAAAAGTATTAAGTTATTTTATCCTTTATAACAATAAGTGTTAAAAAATAACTTGTTGTAATATATCAAACCTAAATGAAGAGTATATTATAGTAATACGCAATAGGTATATATTATATTATACTGAAGTCTATTGATAACGAAGCATTGCCGGGTTAGCTAGTAATATATAAATATAAATATATAATACTGTGTGGTAAAAAATAATAATTTGTAAAATTATGAAAACTGTACAAACATCTAAATAAATAACATTCCACTGTGAAACAAAGTATTATAATACCAAATACCTGTATGGCTGTATTATTTCAATAATAACTATTACAAAATTTCAAACAATCGTTATAGATTTTGTTTTGACTGTTTGTCGTGTAAAATGATTAAATTATTAATTATTTTAAGATCTAAATTGAATGGTTTATACTTTATTGTTTAACTAAAGTTCTACAGCTATGACAATGACTTATTGTTAAATACTTTTAAATTCCATAATTTTAAAGGTTCCTTGTCGAGTGGTGTGATACAATATTATTACATGCAATATGTTCGTCAAAAGTATATGACACATTTTAATTATTAATTCATTTGTCACGAGTAGTACAAAATGCAAATATAAAAAACCTCACATTCCAAATTATGTATGAAATACATTTGCACATACTTCACAGTTGACAGGTTTCAATGTCTTACAAATATTTTGGTTTTTGTAACTTGTAATTTGTGTAGCTTTTCAGTAGGCACCGACATCTAATATGGTAGTTATCAATACATATACTACACCTATAGCATGCATTTCCCAAAATTGTTTTGTGTTCTGATATTATTATGGTCAAGTAATGGAGCTATCAACATTGACAATAATAATTATGATATCAAGATCAGTGAACAATTTTTAAAAAATATTTCTCATCATTACTGTGGTCGTTTAACCGGAACGCATGTTGTATTGCTGGCTGAAAAGTCTGCAGCATCGTTCTACAAAGTTTTACAAAGGTAATATTGATGATAAACCTTACAGTTTACATAATTTCGTGAACTTTTTAACTATCGACAATTATAATTTATTCAATATAATAATATAACTGTTGGTAACATCGTTGTTCATTTAGGTATACAATACGTATATCATAACTTATCAGTATAATAATATAACAATTGTTTTAATTGATAATCATTATTTTATTGTTTGTTTCAGATCGTTTCATTCGACATTTTATGTACATAGTACACTAGTCGGATATGCATCATTGAGTGACTATAACATTATCTTTATCGAAGATGAAACATTTTTTTTTGATGAAAGCATTTACGACCGTCGATTTTGGCATACCACCAAGACCTATTTAATTGTCAGTGAAAACAAATTGAAAACTAAAATAATATGGCCACATATCAAACGTATTTGGGAAACTTTCAAAGTTTTTAAGGTTTCCTTGTTGAGTTTAAACAAATTGAAAGTCCTAAGGATATTCAATAGCAACTTTTACAAATACGCTACAGTTCGTAAATTGAACTACGGCATAAAAAATGTGAAACAATATCCATTAAGAGTGGTTATATTTCCGAGGATGCCGTCCATTATATTTCACAATGGTGAATGGACTGGGCCGGACTGGAAAACATTGCAGGCGTTTTCAAAAAGAATGAATTTCGCTCTTAAAATATCTTTTTCGTCCGATCATTACGGGGCCGCGTTTGGAGAAAGGTTTGTTGCTTTAGTACAATAACAATTAATACTGAATACCTACCTAACGAACGATACTAATATAATAATAATATATCATACCTATAACCGGGTCCGGGGGTTATACCTTGGAGGCCCCACTATTTTTGTTCACCCATATCATTAACATTGCTAGGTAACAGTTAGAAGTATCTAAATGTACGCTGCGGTCATCAAATTGTATTTTTTAATTGTTTTTTTTATTTAAAAAAATTGAGTAGGAAGTCCTAAATTTCCGGTCCCGGTGGAATTACCCCATACTACACCTTTATCGTCAGGCCTGCCTATTTTAACACTCCTGCATATAATTGTACCATATTATAATGTTTTTCGTTGTACCGAATAATATAATATAGGTACGTGTTTATTATACCCATTAATTGAGTCAGTCAACGAAATGTGTAATTTGTTATAAAATATTATAATATTTGTTTAACAGTTTTAAAACTCAATTTCAATACGTTGTTGTTATTGCTGTAGGTTAATAAACGGATCGTACACGGGTGTACTGGGCGATGTTGTTTACGACCGGGCAGACGTGTCTTTCAACAGCCGTTTTCTGAACGATCCGATGATAAACAAGCCGTATCACTACACCCGAAACAATGGTTTGGATTTCATATGTTTTATCGTGCCGAAAGCAGAAACGTTGACAAGACTGCAGATACTGTGGATGACTTTCACCGTTGAAGTTTGGCTGTGTGTGGCCGTCACGTACGCGTTGATGACCAAGTCTTTTCAGCTTTTTAACAAATTGAATTTGTCTGGCGGAAGGAAAATATCCGATCCGTTTATGACTAGCCTTCAGGTAAAAAAAAAAAAAATGGAAGAATGAAAAAAAATTAAGAGTGTTGTTGCGATTTCACAACATAATCATTATGCTGATTTTATAAATGCGTGTTTCAGGTTGTTTTGGGCATGGGCGTTTGTAGTTTGCCAAAACATGTGGCCGGGCGTATATTTTTCGTATCATGTTCAGTGGCTTGTTTCGTTATGGTAATTTTATTTCAGGCATCAATGGTGACCAAGTTGAGCACAGAAACCAGTCATAAAGAGATCGACACATTGGAAGAACTCGATAAGAGTGGAATGGAAATCCGAACTTCGTTGCGTTACGTTCGGGATGCCTTGGCGATATATTCGACGACGAAATCTCTTGCGAATAAAATAGATTTAGAAAAAGATAGACAAGGTTATATTGAGTCAAAATTTGTTTTTATTGCAAGAATCATGAATTTGAGTCTTTCAAAGTATTCAAATTTTATTGGGCATTTTGGACAACAAGGTGTTGCATTGCACATAGTCAGGGTAAATTTAACTATTTATTATTTTATTATACTATAGTTAGTCTTTAAATATCACTTTGTCAAAGTCAAATTTTAATACACGAATCTATAAGAAGTTCACAAGACAGTTAGTTAATTTAATTGTTCGTTTTACGTCTTACGTTTGAACTACAGTCCAACAAAATATACAAAGCTCAAGTGTCTTTTATTATTTTACTTCAAATTTAAATAATAAATTATTTATAAATAAAATCCGATACCTAATTTTATTTCGAAATATTTTTTTTATTAAATTGAGCCAGAGCGTAGTTTTTCACAGACAATTGAAGGGTACCTAATTAGTTTTTTTGGTATAATGCCAAGGTTTGTTCTTGTGAATAGCTCTAATAATCACGTAAATCGATATCTAGTATACACATTTTTAACCAAAACCAACTTTTTGAGGTCTAAAACTATCCATAGTATTCTAAATTGTTCATAATAAACCCTATGTCACTATATTTGATATAATATATTCAGTACCTATGAAAAGAGAAACATATTATTGTTTTTATCATTTTGAATTGGATTTTTATCACTCCCTCGTCTTAAGATATATATCAGGTTTGTGTATTGATTATGTAAGATTTTTCTTTAAACTTTTCCTGGTTGAAATTATGTCAATATTTCACAATATTATAATGTTATTTTAACTCCTAAACACATTCCTATCATATTTTTTTTACAATTTTACTAAGCGGTTTTAGTTACATAAAGCTAATTTGTTGGTAAACAGTATTTCTATAATTTGTACCGTTTACTTATCTATAGTTTCTTCAATAAATTGTTTGTACATCAATTTCTATACGCATTTTTTACTAATAGCTTAGTAATTATTAATGTTTACTGTTTTCATTCTTATAGGAATGTCCACTGAAATATTACCTGACTTATGCAATTGCAATTAACTTTCCGTTTTTGGACGAGCTAAATGATCTTCTTACACGTTTTCAAGAAGCCGGAATTACCTACAAGTGGAAAACAGATATTCAAAAGTTAGAAATGGTTTATTATGAACCACTAAATTCCAACTCATCAAAAGGCTTAAAAGCGTATTCATTGAATGATTTGTGGTTTGCTTTTGTTTTCTTGTTCGTTGGCTACATATTGTCATTGATTGCGCTGATGTTAGAATTTATTTTCAAAAAATTAAAAATAAGAAAAAAAAATAAGATCATGACGTAGATATTTGTTGTCGACGCACGTACATCAATGACATACATTTAAACTGTAAAGCACAGAAGATATTATACATAATATGGTTTAATTGTTGTAAAATGCAATGTGATAAACAAATAACTTTTTTTATTTTGATAATAAGTGATATACAGCGTATATTTAAGTGTGCGTTTAATCGTTTTACTATCAAAATCAAAAAGTCTCATAGGCGGAGACCCTGTAAAATATTTAAGGAAGTTTAAGACGTTTAAGTATTTGGTAGCAAAAAGATCCATGGACGCCGTACCTATACACCCCCACGTCTTATCGTTTTAATAATATATACTTGTAATTTATACAATTTTCTGTTATGTTACCGAAACCGACCGAACCGAATAGAATAAATACAGTATTTCAAGGAACTGGAACTTGGAAGTCAAGAAAATTACATTTGTTCAACTACCGCATACCTTAAGCCATGACGTAGTTGGTATACTATTTAAATACATATTATATTAAAATAAATAACCAGTTATAATTTTGAACCTAACGTGTTGTAAAGTTTCAAAAGTTCAATTACAATTTTTTTCTATTTTAAAGGAGCACAAAATATGAAAAATAAGTTTTTTTTAATTAGAAAGAATGTTCAATTTTTAGAATAATCGTATAGGTTCAACTTTTCTACTCACATTATTCAAAGACTTATGAGTTATGACTTATGAGTAATTGAAAAAGACGAGTGACATCATTGGGGCTGACTCGCGAGTACATGGTAATCCCCTATCTTATACTTGTAAAATGTAAATGTTACTGGTTTCGTATGATAATTAACTTACTTTTAAAATATATATTTAATTTTTTTTTTTATATACTTGAAACTTTAGTGAAGCCAGCAGTTTTCCAAAGTGTTAAGTATTTTTTTAAAATATTTATCAAAATAAATCGACACGCTGTGTCATTGTAACTATACATTAATAGTGAGAAACGCAAATTTCTATATTAGTATTTTTAATATTAAAAAAAAAGCTAAACAGTATATTGAATTATTCGAAATAAATTATTTGGGGCTAAGCCCCGATCTCCACCTATGATAAGTCTTAAGTAGTTATCGTTATGACGTTATATTTTGTAATGTACTAATGTATAAATATTATCCTTCAATATTGTTGTTTAACTGATGTTATTATATTATTATGTATAATAGTTATCCATCTCAATAGAAAACTATTTCATTAGACTTTAAATTTATATTATTTATTAAAATGTTTGCTTTAATTTTAATTTTTGATAAATCCCTAAATAATATAAAAGTAATCTGTTGTGAAAATATTTGAAATCATTATGGAGATTATTCAAAAGTTAATTAGAAAATATTTTTAATGGTCACTACAAGACAAAAAATAGTATATAATATGTAAAACACTAAAGCTTATACATTTCTATGATACATATAATATATTATATTCCATACAAGGTACTCAAACCTTTATTATAGTCAAATACAGAAAAAAAAAACACATAATTTAAAACCTAATACCTTCATAAATTTTAGTCATAAGCTCATAACTCATTCATTGCTGTTCTCTGGATTCAGAATATTATACAAATAATTAATAAGCTGAATGATAAATTATTCATTTACCTAAAACTGCTAAAAGTATATTGAATGAACTGAGAAACGTTTGATAAGACACGCACGCACGCTAGCTTACCTATAATTTTAAATAAAAATATGCTCGAACTACCTACATTCATTTTTTTTTGTTATATATAGAATATACATTTAATTTCATATACCACACGCATGGTTTAAAAATATATTTAAATATCTATAATGTCCTACATTACAAGGGGCAATAAATTCTTTTAAAAACATCACCCTTATAGATAATTTCTTATAAATATTGAAAAATGTATTGATTATTACTGTATTTTAATAGAAAATAATAATGCAGACAAAAATATAAAAATGCTGACGTATACATTTTTAATCTGGGCAAACTATAATTAATATTTAAAGTTTAGATTATATGATTTGGGGTAGAAAAATAATTGTATTATTTCCACATGTTTTTAACGATCCAAAAATTTCTCTCTGCTTGAAGCTGATAAATTAATAAAAAGGTGGCAAGAAAGTACCCATCTGTTGTACATTAGGTGTCATGTAGGTGAGGGTCATCATAATATGGATGAGTGTGAGTTATAACAAAATCATAATATTTGAATTGAATGATAATAATATAATATAATAAATTATAATTTTTACCAAAAAGTTATTATATATTGTTATGGAGACGATTCTATACTGACCAAATTAAGGAGTTCTATATAGGCAATTTTCTTAGCGCGTGTGTGTAGAATAGTGTTCATTAGTGTGATTGACTGTAATGTAAAAAAAAATGGTGAAGTATTTCTGCACTACTATGCCAATAATGAGCTACTATTTCTCAAACTTCTGAAAAAATAATTGAATTCGTGACAAAGTTTACTTGAAAACGACTTCCTTTAGTTTTTAAAAATAATTTGTATAGTTAAATATTAAAGAGTTTAAGAGTTCAATTTCAAAAAACTATTTAGTAACTATTTTACTTTCAAGTAAAATTCATAGGAACTAAATCGAATTTTGCTAAGTTTTTAAAAAAGTTTTTGCAAAAATGTTGCTAAAATTGCATCTTCAGAAATTGTATCTTCAATTACTAAGATATAGGTAGTTAGTACTATTGGCATAAGATAGATCTATTTTAGCAAAAAACTCGGTTAGGATCGAATCCATTTAAATATAGTTACTAAAATTAATGTCTTCAAAACTAATGCTAATTCCGATGCCCGTAAGTATACAAGGATGCACAGTATTATAAGTATATCAGGACTCAGTATAAAACATTCGATAGAACTATAGAAGTATAAACACTGAAAGTTTTCTGTAACTTATCATGTTATTTTACTGTATCACTATTCACTACTATATAGTATATACTACCTAACTATATTATGTTGCAATAGTGACAGTTTCAAATTTTAACTCCACACATTTAAATTAAAATCTACATTGTCCATACTATTACAATCTCTCTAACTCTCTATTTTAAAACATGACAGTTGTGAATAATGAAATATTTATTTAGTTTTTTTTTTTTATGAAAAATCTGTTGGAGGTCAACGAGAAAATGAACAGGGGGTAATAAAATTATATAATATTCAATACCAATTTAAACCTATTATAAATCAATCTACATATTATTATCAAACAAATTGTTGTTATCGTTATTGCGTACGAGTTGAATGATTAAATTAATCGCATCGGTTTTATTTTGAATCTTAAATTCATCTGGACTGGTTTACGACCTACTGATTTTATAATAATTGATATTGTTTTGTAGGTACCTATAGTATGAATAACCAGGAAAAATAAAATCATTTAATGTAAGCATAATATTAGGTAATCTTATTTTGTATTATGCATTAATGAATATAAAATAGTTTTAAATTAAGTGTATAGATAAGTTTACATACATTTGTGTATAATTGTAAGTTAATAATAATATTTGTTTATACATTAAGTTTATAGTTGTTTGCGTTATTAATTTGCATCGTAAGCAATAATAATTTCTAGAACTTCATGTTCATTAATCATTTCTGTCCAATTACCACTATATAAAGCAACATTTATTGTATCATTATGAAATAAAGTTACCATATTATATGACTTTTGATTCAATTTAGCTCACTTCATAATAAATTCGTAACGTTTTCTCCTTGATGCCAATTTGTCAACTAAATCAAAGGCTTATCCAAATTTTGATGGTTTACATCTTTACAATAATAGTTTTCAATATCAAACAAATTGAGATCTATTTCTAATGTATAAGTGATGTCATGAACTACATTTTCAACAGTTTTTTTCTTTTCTTTTTGGGACTAATTATTCCACTTATTTCAACATAATAAGATTTCTCATTTTGCTTCAAAGTGCTAATGTTATATTCCAGGCTATAATTACCTAACTTTTTCTATTAACGATTTTTCCAGTTCAATAACACGATTATTAAGTGCCTATAGAGAGTTATTTGGAGTTAGGTACCTGGTTTCTTAACCCCTGATAGAATCTTTTGATAATTGATTTTGTTTCTAATGTTGTAGGTAGTATATTTTATTTTGTCTTGGGAGTGTCTTTAATTCATCAAGTCGTCCCATTTTTACTTGATTGATACACTCTTTGCAATTGTATTTTTGATCAACAGTTTTAAGATAATATTCAAGACTATCTTTATCCATTTTTGAAAATTTCATACGTGTTATAGTATACTTATAATATGTAGCATATTGTATACAAGCGATTGATATGATATTTGACACTTAGGACCCACGGTTATATTATAACACGCTAGTATAATGATATATTATGTGCATCCATAATGATACATATCACTTTAAATACATTTTGAATATTATTGTAAATTATACTAACGAGATTTTTTTGGTTAAAACTATGAATTATGATTCATGAAAATGTTAGCTTTAAATAGAAAAACGAACTAAGAAAAAGGTATAGCCCATTTTCAATATATATTTTTATACTATCATACTATAACGACTGCGAAAATTATTTTCAACATGAGCTATACAAAATTAATGATTTATGTTCCTATTCAAAGGCTGAAAAAATGAAAAAAAGGTAATTTAAATTAAAACATTTGAAACATAAATACTTTTGATTGCTGGATAATAAATTATGATTGATGGCAGAGTCATAGTTTGGTCAAACCAGCTATCACTATATTACACTTATCTAAAGTATCTAAAGTATCAATATTATAGTTACCGTAAGAGCGGGATACTTTACTCCAGGGGTTAAACATTGCTCAAAAAAAATATTTATTGATATCAATCGTAGCACATTACGATTTTGAGATCAGAGATTGTAGTTTTTTTTATATTATTGAATTATTCTTATTAACATTACTAATTTTTTCAAACATTATGAACATCAATCTATTAGTTTGCCTCCAAGATGTATGTCATGAAAAAAATTGTTTTCAAAAACGCAAAACGGAAAAGTTATCCAAAATCTAGGGGATTGAAATTTAATTTAAAATGTATTGAAAAAAGACTTTTAATAAAAAAAAAAAAAAAATTATATTATGTATAGGTTAAAATAAGTTAAAACACAAGCACTAAACATTGCATCAATAGATATTATATGCATTAGAGTAAGGTAATTTTAATCATTGTGCAATGTAACCTGCAATGTACTTTAACTTTGCTCCAAACTTTTGGGAATAAGTAAGTCACTAGTACGACATTCGGATTTGTTTGAATTCTTCTTACCTCTCAACATCTATACATATAAAACAACTCGAACAGGTAATTTTTATCTTTGTTATTGAAGCTATAGTATAGGTTCTAACTAAAAAAGAAATATATTTGAAGCAAAGTGTCCCTATTTTAAGGTGTATTAATTTGTTCAGCATATAATCTTCAAAATGTATGATCTCTTTACAAAAAAATAATTTTTTTTTTCATTTCATCCGTCATAATTTTTCCACTCCCAAAGTTTACCACTCGCGGGAAATTGCACACCATTTCCCTCCCCCCATCCCTAAAGGTAGCGCTGGCCGTCAGCACTCTTCGGTTTAAATAAACCTCATGTCCTCATTGACCGTATAAGTACCTACCTACGTATAATTCACCCACAGTCTCTTTTTAAAAGGTTTAAATAACGTAAATAATAGGAAATAATATTCAACACAGTTTTTGGTCGGAAACACTTTTATTGGTGTAATGGTGTAAGTAAAGAACAATCATAAAGTACAAACTTGCTACAGTCGCCACTTCTCACGAGTGCAGCCGTCGAATCTATAACCTCTTGTCAAGTTCACGACCACAGCTGGCCTACGCTTGTGGCAGTGTTACAATAATATTATTGAAAAATATCGCATTAGCACATCAAGCTTCGCTGACCTATCTTAATTGGTTACCTAGTTGCTAAATTACTATATTCCTATAACTATACTACATCATATTATATACTATTATATTATATTTTATATAATTATATTGACGACTGTCTACAATATACGTCAGTGGCAATAGTTCTACAGTATTACATTTCAACAATATACACACATTTAAATTTAAATCTGCACAGTGGTACATATTATTAGTTTCGCTGACTCTCTATGTAAGTATTGGTTATGTAATATTTATACCGTGGTATACTTTAATATTACTCAGTAGGTAGTCTCTAAGTATTAAAATTATTATTCCTGTGAATATCATTGCTATTAAAAATAAAAAAATACATTTAAAAATGGAAAGTTAACAATATTGAAATTAAACCGATTTAAACCTTTTATAAATCAATGTTTTTACTAAACAAATAGTTATTATCGTTATTGTGTAAGAAATTTTCAATTTTTAATTAATATTTTCATATCATTTGTATTATTTTGATTCTAAAGTTCATCTGGACTAATTTAATAATGAATTTATAACTGATAGTATTTTGTAAGTAGTATGAATAATCTGGAAAAATAAAATCATCTAGTGTAAGCATAATAATATTATGTAATCTTATTTGTATTACATGCATTAATGAATACAAAATAATTTTAAATTAAGTGTAAAGATAGGTTTACATACATTTGTGTATAATTGTAAGTTGACAATAATATTTGTTGATACATTGAGCTTAACGTTGTTTGCGTTATTAATTTCCATCGTAAGCAATAACAATTTCTTGAACTTAATGTTCATTTCTGTCCAATTGCAACTATATAAAGCAACATTTATTGCATCATTCTGAAATGAAGTTACCAAACGTTATTGTATTGAAATACATAAGATGCATTGTAATTCGTAAATAAATTATACATAATAACGGAATAGTACAGTTATGTTCTTTATTATGTTTGGTTAAGTTTCGAATTGAAAATTTGTTTGATAAAAGTTATGACAAAAACTGAGAGTAAAATAAACATTAGTAAGTAATTTCTATATTAACCATTAGGTATATGATATTGTAGAGGTATTATTTATCAAGTTTAATAAAACTATAAATTAGATATAAACCAGTTAATTAATAGTAATAATTATGACACAAACATTTTAAAATTGATTTAGTCACTTATTACTTAATTCAAGTTTATGAATAATGTTTGATATTTTAAAATCTTTTTAACAAAGATAAAATTATAATAATCTAGGTAGGTAGCTGAATATCCCGGCTTTGCTCATGTGCAGTTTTTTTTTGTCAAATCTTATATAGTAAGTACGCTATATAGGTGTATGTCGATGAGAGTATATCTCAGTTTTAGTGTACCTCAGTTCGCAGACAAATCGGCGTCAATGTACCTAACTTTGTAAAATAGTTCGACCTAGATGGGCAACCGCAAGTCGTGGATTGGATTTATCACTTGGTATATTTTTTAACGTGGTTTAAACTACTTACTCTAAACATTCCTGACATCTCTAAAAACAATTTCTGAGATTTTCGTCAAATTCAATTGAGTAGTATTTGAGTACCTATATAATCTACACACATACATTTGGTTTTAAGATTTAGTGTCTTTATTTGATTTAGTAATAGCGACAATTTGATACATGCTTGTACCTGAACTGCCCGAGTAACCAATGGCGACCATTTATAAATAAAAGGTTTCAATTTCCCCCATGAATCTTCGAGGCCTCTTTATAATGCATATTTCTAGAAAATCATTTCTCAGTGGGTCTTTACATCTGAAAATGAAACTATTGACCATAGTACTATAATATTTATATCAAGAACTCTGTTTGACCACCTTTTTAAAATGCGAGTATCGAATATTGCACTAGATCATTAGAGGAACCACTATTCGACATTTTAAGAACGTACGTTTTGCAGTTGTTAAAATGTAGCAATGAATGAGTGAGTGGTATTTGGATTATATACATATAAGTAATTTATAAAAATTAATTTTTTTGATTTTCATACTTACATATTTGTCGATTTCACTGAATAAATAACATGCTAAGAATAAATGAATGGTCGTAATTACAGAACCTGAGATAAACTTGATGCTTTCTGGTGATGTCAGTGGAACACCTTTATTTGCATTCTATAAGTTAATATAAAATATTATTTGTGATGTTGTTTTCAATAAGTATTATACAGAATCTTACCAAAAGAATTACAAAAGGGATTAATGACATTAATACTCCTTCAGACAACAATTCAACAAGTATTATAGGACGCAATACGTCATAAATTTCATGAATTTTCCTAATAAAAATTATAAGTAAACATATTATTAGTATTTATGTAATATCTATCGATTAGAATGCCATAATAGTAAGTAGGTACTTCATTGATTTTTGATGGTCTTTAATTATTAGTACCAAATTAATTAAATCCTTAGGTTTTTCATTTATGGACTGATCGTCTTCACCTAAAACGCCATTTTATATGATACAATTTTATTGGTACCAATAGGTAATGTAATTTAATTCTTAAAATATATAATACCGGAAATTTATACCGGAAAAACATTATGCAATTATGACTTCTGATAGATGTTCATTTAAGATATATCTATATTATATTAAAAAACTATTTGTCAAGTTTTAGAAAAACTCCTTGGAAACTTTTAAGGGTCAAATTGGAAAAAACATCAAATTTTCACTTCTTGGGATTATCTACATTCAATTTTTATTTTTAAATTATACACTTTGGTATAAATGTATTATTATACAGTATTATACTTTATAATTTGTGTATCTAAAAATAAAAAATGATCTTTTCATCTTTGTAAAATTTTCTTGCAAGAGAAATTTGCCTGTCACTGTATAATTTTCAAACTTGAACGAGGGCTTCCCCTTAAATTTTGCTGTCAATTAGTTGTTAAAATATAAAAATAATTTTGAGGTTGATACGACAGTAATATGGTGGTGCTCCGTGAATTTGATTCCGGAAGTTTTATCACAAGGACATCGGAATATTTATTGTTATAATATGTGGTTTTTGTACTTAGTTATACCTATAGGTACCCACAAAAAAAAATTAAATAATAATATACGTAAAAATGCTAACTTACTTTTAATTTGATCGGTATTGGTATCATTATATCCTAATGTTTTGTATGAGGATGCAATCATTTTTAACTGAAAGCTGATGGTTATACAAAAAGAAATTAACATACAATCAAAAATAACCATCGAATATCCATGTAACGTTAGAGACATGGTCTCAAATAAATAAAATACGTTAAAGTTATCATTGTAAAATTGGGTTGACACTGAAAATAATAAATTGAGCACATTGTATCGATATTGATTGAGTGTACTATCTTTGGATTTAATATTTAAATAATTATTGTCATTTATTATGATTGGAGGAACAACCAATAATGCTACAAAAACTATCCAAAACATTGTAAAAATATTTGAAATCCTTATGGATTTGGTTCGAGCATTCATTAGAATACATTTTTGGTGACCACTATATGATAAAAAATCGATAGATGTAAAACTTATAAGCTTCCATATTACATCAGATTTAGTAATTACGAACAAAATTTTGATCATAGTGAAAATTTGCGCAAACATGATCATTATATACCTAACGACTACAGCAAAATCATATCGAGAATGGTATATACTTATATTGCACATTAAAATATCCAGTATAAGGAACAGAACTGAAATATAACCACCAAGCTTACAAATTTTACAACCATATATTGCTGTAGCATTTGGATCTAGTAATTGATAAAATCCAATAATCTTCATCAACTGTATATTGATAATATAAGACGTTTTCGTTTTATCTGGTGTCATCATATTATGTTGATTTGATGTTGTTTTGAAGCCACTGTTTAAAACAAAAGTTCGTAAAACATGATTATGTAATATATTAAACAGAATGATTGTGTTCGGCGCATCGTTGTCAATTTGGTGGAGGGGGATTTAAGGTGGGCTAAAAGTCCCCCCTGTTATATTTCCTAACTTAACCTCGTAAGTCCATAATATGATATATTATGGTAATATGTGTTAATTAATATTTCTATCCTCCTTGAATTTTAATTGACATACGCAGCTATGGTTCAGGATGCTTTCGAAGCTATCTGCAGTGGACACTAAAGCTTGTGTAGAGAAGGCAACTTTTAACTTTTATAATGAATATGTTTGGGAAACGTTAAAATATATAAGTAAATATAAACATTTGGGAATTAAAATATTTTCAAAAAAATTTACAGTTTTTTTTTTAATTGATCTTATAAGACTACCTTTTCTGATAACTGTATTATTAAAAATATTTAAACACAAAACAGAAAACTATTGTCGTAACTGAAGTATATAATAATATTTGTTTAGTAAATAAATATGTCAAATTACTTTTGTATAGAGAACGAATTCTATTGAGTGGATATTTATCTCATGTTTAAAAATAATAATTTAAATTATTATTACTTGATCTTAAAATGTGGACATTTGGCTATAGAGATAATAATAAAAAAATTGATAAAATGTGTACCTACTTACTTTGTTGTAAATATATTACTCTGGTTTTAGTGTGGATTGTGGTCTTTGAAGATAGCATCATGAGAAACATCTAAAAATTATACTTATCTATTTTTTTTACTATTCCTTCTGTTATCTACCAAACCATTTATTTTCATAAAATAATAGTTTTCAACTTTATAGGTATTTTTCAAAAATATCATAAGAATCAAATTTTTAGCTTCTAATAATAGGTTTCATTATTTTTTTGCGGAATACAAAATAATATACTCGGTTGAAAAAATTGCAATATAGAACTTTATTGTCGAATTCGAATAATCATTTTAATTTGTGTATTTGGGTTCCAAAATATATATTTATAAGCAAATAAGCTTAGTGTTCATTTTCTTGGTTTTTGTGTTTTTAATGAATACCTATATTTTAATCTTGGTGACACACTCTATTTTATGAGTTAGTTATTTAAAAAAATTATTTAACTGGGAAAAGTATTTTATTATTTATTTTGTTTATAAATTATAATACTTTTATACACGAATTGTAATTATTTTATAAAGTGAATAAGCTTATATTTTTAGCAAAATCATCTAAAACATTTAAAAATATTTTTTTTTAATTATTGGTAAATTTTACTGACATAACAATTTTACACTAAAACTTACGAGCCACTGCAATTAATGATGTGAAACTGATTGTTAAGATTATATTATATTCTAAATTGATATTAGATTTCTTTGAAAGTCCGCCGTTTGTCGTGTAAGGATTCGTTTTGAATAAAGTGTTCGATAGGTATTTTTTATTTTAATTATAGACATGTGTTGCATACATTATTAAATATATAAATCAATAATTTTGGTGTATATTTATATATTATATATATATGCTTAATTGTTAACCATTGTCATAAAATTAATTATTAATACTTTAATTCTATATTTAATATTTATATATCATAACCCAACGTGCAGAGGTCCAATCCAATCCAACTTTCCAAAGATATACCGGGTATCTCTTTTATCATTAAACACTCGTTATTTCGAAATGTATAAATATTTTTGAAGTTTTTTACTTTTTGAATGACCACATACAGTTTTAATTTCATATTTCGAAGCAGAATATATTTCCAAGTATTTTGATATATACAAATCAAATTCAGGGAGGTTATTTTATGAGTTATAAGTATTTAAAGTTTAGTTGAGCGGAGTGGAGTGGTCCACTACTCCGCTCCATAAAACTTTAAATACTTATAGCTCATAAGCTACTCATCTTAAATTCAAATTGTATCAAAATACTCAGAAAAATATTCTGATTTCGAAGATGAAATTAAAACTGAGTGTTGTAATTAAAAAAAGTAAAAAACTTTAATATATAATTTTTTAATAAACACTTTATTTTTGAACGATTTGAAACCATGTAAAAAATATATTTTCAAAAACATTAATACTTTTTAAATAATGAGTGTCCTACGTTAAATGAATCAACTGGTATAATTATAAAACCATTTATTGAACATGACTATAATTTATAAGTGTATCAACTATCAACTATATTATTGGAGATTGATATATTTTTACTAATTTAGTACTTATTTAGTACTTTATTACATATTTTACTAATAATCATCATAGTTCATAATATCTTCTAAACTTATGCTTACTCCGACGCCCGTTTAATCTTATAATGATGTGTATTTTTTTTTTTTTTTGGGGGGGGGGCTGGTAAAAGTACAAAAAATATAAAATTTTGCTAAACACAGTGTAAAACAAATGGAAACTACGTCGATTGGGAGGGGGGGAATGCCCCTTGATCTACCACTGAACTAAACTTAAAAATGTTTGTAATTTTGTATATACCTTTACCGTATTACTAAATCTATATGTTGTGGAAGTATACTCGTATCACCCGTATATGTACACGCTCTAAATATGATCGTCTAACACCCTAACCGGCCTAACCTAGTGACTGTACGATGGTATTTGCTTATCGGTTCTACGTTTGTTTCTTCCAAATCATAATTACCATTTTATTTCGTATACCATAGCACTTTTTGTTTTTTAAATAAATCTCATTGAGTAGTAGGCAGTACCTACTTATATTTCACCAATGCCACTTTTCAAGAGGAAGAACGTAACTATATTATATCAACACAGTTTTTGCCGGAAACATTTTTATTGGTTTAATTATAAAACAGTCATAAAATAAATCACTTAGCCCATGCTACAGTCAGTAGCGTCAGTGGCGTCTTTTCAGTTTTTATAGCAAGTGATAAAATTTTGAACATCCTATATAATTGAATCCCCCCCCCCCAAAAAAAAAAAAGAAAACACAGTTCACCATTCCACTCGTAAGCTATATAGTTTCCACTTACATTTTTATCTCAATACAATTACCATCTTACATAACTTTATACGTGTCTGAGACAAAAGTAGTCTCATTTTATAGCATAAAAATACATATAAATGAGCAAAACAATTATGGTACTTACACCTTTTTTTTTAAATATTATTTTACAACTACTAGTAAAAACTATGATAGTTCGACAGTTACAATATTAAAATTACATTATTAAAGTATATGATAATATTTAACACACAATAAAATAGGTAAGAATAATAATCGACATTTATATAGTCATACCTAAAGAAGCCAATTAAGGCAGAGACAGAAAATTAATTTAAAAATTAAATTAATTTATTAGATATAATAATCTTAATGGAAATAATAATTAAGTAATGAGATAAACAAAAATAGATGGTTGAACTATGGAGTAAAGCGTTTTTACAGTACATCAGTGAGGAGGGATATTAATGGTCCAATTACAGAATTTAAGTTGGTGATAAATTGAGATAATACTGTTGTGACGATTTCTATTGTAGGATTATTATTAGCGGCCATACTTACACCTTATTGGTGCTTAATTTGATATTTTTATAGAGGTTTTTAAAATCTTGAGTAAATTTAAGATCGATAATTTTGTTTTTAGAATGGTTATAGTACCACTAGTACCAGTGTCTATAAATTTCAAAAGTCAAAAAAATCATGTTATGCTAGCATTTTGACAAATGGAGAGTATGTCCATGAAACAATTAATGAACATAACCACACTGAAAATTCACAACAGAGCATTGAACTACAAGTACTACGAGAAGCTTGTAAAAGAAAATCAAATAATACTATTATTTGTATCAGACCCATACAAATAATTAAAAACGAACTTATGGGGAGCAATCATTCTGAAATCGAGCACAGAGATGCACGGTCGATTCAAAAAGCAATGTACGATAAACTTCGAAAAATTATCCCGCTCTTCCAAAATTTAAATTTTACTGATTACACATAAAAACATAAATTTGGCAACGTTGCACAGCAAATCATACTCAATCGTTTGACTTTTGGAGTAAATATTAAAATTAATGGTTTAACGTACGCAATCGCGTTAAAGTACGTAATCGTGTTCTTTAAAAGATACATCTTAGTATCTTACGCAATCGTGTGGTACCCGGCCAGGCACACTTTCCCTTCGAAGATCACAGGTTATAACCGTTGTTACCGTTACCACTACCTGCGGTTGAACCTGACCGTCGTATTGTACAGGTGGGTTTCCACTACATACGTGTACGTTTACGTGCATATATTGACAGGATACGTTCGCTATAGACGGTCTCACATACGTTTCCCATCGGTTGATCGGTTATGGATTGGTAACATATTAGCATAGAACAGCATCTGGTATACCAAAAGCTTACCATGTATACTAACCAATCACAGAAAAGTATTTTTATGCACGTACACGTATCTACAGTGGCTCAACTAGGGCTAAAATGTTGGGGGGGGGGCTGTAGTCCCCAACTGACATTACATAAAAAGTAACCCGTGGGAGAGATGCCCCACACAACCATATATGTTCATCTAAAAAAATCAAAAAAATCATACAAACAAAATCAATAATTATTAATATATAATACCTTATTTTTTATTATTTTTTATTATTTATATTATAATTTTCAAACATTGACAATAATATGTTTTGCTTAATAGTTAATATCTTTATATTATATATTATAATAATATATCCCCGAAATAAAATATTACTTTTCTTATAATATTTTAACAATATATAAATTATAATAATTATTATTAGAATTAGATTTTACAAGTCTTACCTAATATAGGTAGAATAGGTAGATACAATATTTAAAAGATTATAAAATAAAAATCGATGCAACAAATAAAGTAAATAATTATTAAACAAATAGTTAATGATTGTACCTAATCAGTAAGCTTTTAAAAGAACTATTAACATATTATGTTGTTTCACA